TATTAATGAAAGACAACATGCTTGGATATTGGATTCTACATGGTAAAAACAAATTGACATAAAAACTTTCCATTTTGATGTATTGAAACCTTGTCCTAAAAGTTTCATTCATTTTAAAAGAACAAATATTTCATAGAAGGTTTTTTCCAGTGTCCTCACAAATGTGCATTATTTCTGTTTGGAAAAAATAGAAGCAAAATCCAGGAGGATGGAAATTCACATACTATGTAAACTCATGTATAAGTTGACCTCATGTATAAATGAGGGAAGGTTTTAGGGCCAAAATCATGGATTTTGTTGTGACCCACAGATAACTTGAGGATAAAATTTAGGGGCATATAACAAAGGCTCAAAGGGGAAAACACCATGTCCCTCCCTCTTTCTTTGTCTCTGGAACTCTCCTGATCACCTAACACCACTTCCTTGTGTTGGAGGAGAAGTTTTTAACATTGGATTGAAATGGGAAGGAAGTGAAGGAAAATGAGGTGTTTGGTGGGGAGGGAAGGTTTTAACATTGGATTGGGATGGGAGGGAATGCAATCAAATGGGATGTTTGGTAGGGAGAAAGATGAGGAGGAGGATGGGGATAGAAGGTTTTAACATTGGATTGGGAAGCGAATCACCTCTTTCACACACACACACACACACACACACTCCTGCCTGGGCAGCTCTTTCAGAAATCAGTGCCAAGGCACATGGGGTGGTGCTTCTTTCAGGACCTTTCTAAGCAGTATTACTGTATTGACCCGTATATAAGGATTTTAGGGACAATTTTTGGGCATAAATTTTTCAATTTACAGTCATAGAATTATAGAGTTGGAAGAGAACACAAGGGCCATCCAGTCCAACCCCATGTCATGCAGGAACTCAAAATCAAAGCATCCCCAACAAATGGCCAAATATAGTGTACACTCTTAATTTTTTCCTCTTTTTTACCCTGTTGGTCCTTCACGTTTCTTGATGTGTTCTATAGGATCATTGCCCTGTGAAACTTGGAATTACTTCTTGTTCTTTTGCTGGCACCTTGCACTGTGAACTCACTTTGTGAGAAGATCAAAGAGCGATCTTTACTCCAGTACTATGCATATTAGTATAATCTTGTTTATTGCTAGGGACACCAAGAACCAGGTCTTTTCTTATCTCCTAGTTCTTCAAACTGTTGCAGATGTCATTCCCAAGGCACTCGACACTGCTAGGGACATCAAGAACCAGGTCTTTTCTTATCTTCTAGTACTTCAAAGTGTTGTAGATGTTATTCCCGAGGCACTGGATACTCAAATATCATTGTGTTTGATGATCAGTCAGAATTGGAAATAAAGAAATGGGAACATAGATTATGATTGTGTTGGTAATAGGTTCCAAGCCACCAATTTTTTAAAAAACCAAATAAACAGTTTAAAAGACAAATCAGGGCCCACTTTCTGAAGTGAGATGAGTCTGTGGACTTACCCTAACGTGAGCAGAAATATAACTAGACAGAGTGTTGGATCTAGGAACAGTCATATTTAAAGGAGACCTACTGAAATCAGTGAACTATAATGTCAAACTTTGTATCTTTCCCAGATGCCTTAGCAAATTTTCCATTATGTTCCTCAAGACATACAAAATGCAAGTCAGTGAAGTCATTAATGATCCCAGTCTCCTCTGTTTTTATGCACACATCAGTTGAACTTGACAAGTTTGTGATGAAATTTTATTTCTTAATTTAAGTATTTATAGCCTGCCTTATATCAAAAGACCTTAAGAGTAGTTGAATACTGAGACTAAGTGTCCTGGGAGTCATTTGAGAATGGGTGGAATCACTCAAACAATATGCATATTGCTTTATGTAATAGTATTTGAACATGCACAAGTGTAGTGTAGTGGTCTGAGCATAGGGCTCAGGGTTTGATTCACCGCTCAGCTATGGAAATCCACTGGGTGACTGGGTGAATCACACACTACAGTCTGCCCTCCATATCCATGGACTTGCCAGCCACAGATTTGAGCATTCGCGGATGGCAATCCCGCGTGGGGGTTTGTAGCGGAGGAGGCAGGGAAAACAAGGAGGAGGCAGTGGCAAGAGGCGGCAGGGGCAAGAAGAAGTTTGAAGAGGACGCAAGAGGTGGCAGCATCCATGGCAAACAGGAGGAGGAAGGAGGCGATGGGGGAAGAGGAGGAGGAGGAGGAGGCTGCCCATTGCCGCTGCTGTGAGAGTGGCGAGGCAGGCTTCAGGGGTGGCGGGGTGGCAAAGAGGAGGTGAAGAAAGGCAGAGGAAGAGTGAGGAGAAAGAACAGCAGTGGCGAGGGGAAGAGGAGGAAGAAAATGAGAAAGACGAAAAGGAGGGAAAGTGATGATGGGGGTAAGGGAAGGAGACTAAGAGCCAGCGGAGGGAGGAGGAAGAGGGGACAGGAGGCAAAGTTGACAGCAAGCCCTTGGGGGGGACAACAGAGGAGGAAGGAAGGAAGGAAGAAGCTGTGGAGGAGGGGGAGGAGGAGGAGGAGGAAAGAAGAGGCAGGAAGAGGAGGAAGGAAGAAGCTGTGGAGGAGGAGAGAGGAGCGGGAGGAAGCATTGGCGGCAGAGGTCCCTTGCTGCCAGCCAGTTACCAATTCAGGTGAAAGGTGGGAGGGAGGATATATGCATGCATGAGGTGAAATCCCTTTGTCCCCAATGGTGATGCGCTACCATTGAAGATAATGGGACTTGAGCATTTGCGAATTTTCGTATCAGAATGGATCCTCCGCAGATCCCGAGGGCTCACTGTATCAGCCCCAGAAAACCCTGTGATAGGTTCTCCTTTGGGCACCATAAGTTGGAAACAATTTGAAGGCACACAACAACAACTGAAAGCTTTAGAATTTGGTCTGTAGATAATAATAATATTAGTCATTAATAATATAACTTTGATATGTAAAAGGATAGTGGAATCAGAAGTAGAATTAACTGAACACCTGTCAACAGCTGCACAAATGTGCATTTTTAGTAATGGGAAAACTTTGATTTCCAGCAAAGACAGACTGGATATAAAGATTATGGCATGTGGCTTATATGATAAATCTGCTGAATTTAACCTGTGTCTAAGAAGGAAAACAATGCAATTGTTTTATAGAAAACTTTTTTTAAAAATATGTGCACTATTCAAATAACAAGATTCAAGATAAAATCAATCCATATAATTTGAGTGTCATGTATTCTCTGAGTTGGTGAGAAGAGGAATTCACACAATTTGGGTTTCTCTATTATAAGTCAAAAAAAAAAGAGGAAGAATTTGGCCCATAGGATTTTTCTTGTTAGGAACCTTCATGCTGTATGTGTGTTTTCCTAATGAACATTTAAATATGTGTTTGCTTTAATTCTTTTGTCTCTTTAAATAGGAATTGGACAATGTCCTGAATTAAGAACAATAGGATTACTTGGTTCTCCTCCTTAGGCTTCAAGCTTCTGTGCTGAATGTTGCTGGACGTGCACAAGGCCATGGCAGATGAGGATGCTCAACCATCTATACCAAGAAAGTGTGGCCCATATATTTCTTCAGTCACCAGCCACAGCCTAAACTTGATGCTTCGTGGGGTGGTCCTGTTTTTAATTGGTGTTTTTCTTGCATTAGTATTAAACTTGCTACAGATTCAGAGAAATGTCACCTTGTTTCCACCTGATGTGATTACAAGTATCTTCTCATCAGCTTGGTGGGTTCCGCTTTGCTGTGGAACAGCATCAGGTATGGCTAAACAGAGCAGATATCCCAGGGAAGCACTTGGGAAAATGTTACAGGTTGAGTCCAGTCCGCCAAGGACTTCAGAGTCTTATCTTAGAAACCCCATTTGCTGTTCACTGCCTTGACATCTGTCTTAATGTTTGTAGTTTTGTTATTTGTCAATAGCAAAAGTTATCTGTCTTTCTCTGGTTGTGAGATGAATAGTTTAATAGAAAGTGTCCTTTTCAAAAATATGATGTGTAGTGAAAAAGGTCTGAACATGTCACTCAGTGGTGTGATGCAATTCTTTAATGAGTGAAAGGCATGAGATATTAAATGTATTTACTCTTGAGATGAGCAGCTATAAACTGATGGTTCCTGGATTTTCTTAGTAAGGTAGATACATACTTCTGTCTCACTGGTTGTTTAGATTTTTCTTTATGTGCAAAACCCCTTGGTAGTGAAGTCAGGAGGCAACACAGAGAGAATTCTGAAGTGAAGCTCCATAATAAGAAAATGTTTTCCTCAGGTTCTCTTCATTGTATTCTAGTATAGATCAATAAGCCATCCATTGTCTAGCAAACAGATTTTTTTGTTCATTCCCCCTTAAAATAATCTCAAAGCTAGGTGTTGTGTATTGTCTGATTATTTGCCTTTTCATTGAATTGATACTCCACACATTCCACACATGACTCAGATATGAAGGTGATTTTCTGTGCAATTTGTCAAAAATTTGTCATTTTTTCTTCCTCTTCAAATATTTTGTTTACAGTTATATATAGAGGGCTTTTTAAATCTCTAAACTTCCTGTTTTTTTTTTTTTCATAGTTGGACTGCTACTCAACTTTGCTTCATTTTTTTTTCCAGTGGGAGGCTAAATTGGCAATTATGGACATTGTGGGTCCAGATGCACAATGCTGGATTGTTTTGCATGTGTATGTACAGATATAGACACACAGGGCTACTCTGTGGTGGGTCTTAACAAATAAGATATCACTTCTGTTGTTGTTTCAAATATAATATACAAGGAGAGTACAGAATGCCCTAGTTTGCTCAAGAATGTTAAATGTTTATGACAAATAGCATGGCATAATGGTTTGAGCATTGGACTACGGTTCTAGAAACCAGGCTTTGATTCCCTGCTCAGTGATGAAACCCATTGGGTGACCTTCAGCAAGTCACATGCTTTCAGCCTTCGGGGAAGACAATGATAAACCTCTTATGAACCAATCTTGCCAAGAAAGCCCCATGATAGGTTCACTTTAGGGTTGCCATATGTCAGAAACAACTTGAAGGCACACAACAAGAACAACTGAAAAGCTACTGAGCCAGTGTGGTATAATGGTTTGAGTGTTGGACTATGACTTTAGAGATCAGGGTTAAAATCCCTGCTCAGCCATGGAACCCCACTGCATGACCTTATGGAAATCACACTCTCTCAACCTCGGAGGATGGCAGTGATAACTCCCCTCTGAAGAAACCTGCCAAGAAAACCCTATGATAGGTTCACCTTAGGGTTGCCATAAGTCAGAAATGATCTGAAGGCACACAACAACAACAACAACAACAACAGCTGAAAAGTTGCAATATTGCTTTCCTTTGTTCTTGAAGAACACTCTGTGACTCAGGATAGTGTGACTGAACATGCTTCCTGACATGAATTAGTCCTATCATACATATATTTTTAAAAAACTGCTGTCTTATGTTCCCACGGGATCCCCAAGGAAATTCACAAGGCAACATTAAGGATATATTATTAATATATCTTTATATATACAATTTTAGATTGCACTGACCACTTTATTGTGATACTGTTTCAAAGGCCTTTATTTGCTTCCTCTTCCTGTCACACTGTTACATTAATAATTCATAATCTATAAAAGATGAAAATAACTTTAGTTTTCTTTTAGAAAGCCAAAACAAAACTCCAAAATATTACATTATGATAAGGTATTGTTGTTAACTGTCTTCGTGTCAATCTCGACACATGGCGACCCTATGGATGAGACATCTCCAGGCTCTCCTGTCTTCTACAGCTATGCCCAGCTCCTGCAAACTCAGTTGTCTCTTTAATAAAGTCCATCCATCCTTCCTCTTTTTCTACTTCTCTCCACCTGTCCTAACATCCATTTTCCAACGATTCATGCCTTCTCATGATATGTACAAAGTATGACAATCTAAGACAATCTAAGTCTTATCATCTTGGCTTCTAGGGATATCTCTGGCTTGA